CGTTTGTAGACATCCGTTCTTTCACCGGACGACGGGCCGTGAAAAAACGTATGTACCTATATCCTTTCTTTGCTGACAATTTTCTCGCCGGACCTACTATATCCGATGCATGTGCACAATGTTCATTATAAACCATACACCACCGCTAAATCCGGCAAAAATCGGGCCGTTGTCCGGTCAAAAAATGGATGTTTACGCGGCCTTAAATTATTGGTTCATATTAGACCAAATGTAAATGAAAGAATGACTGAGTTCATAATTTGAAATTAAAAATTTGCATAAATGACTAAATTCATAAATTGCTATTGGTGTCATATCTGTCAGAAGTTATTTTTTGGTTCTACGCTAAAATCCAGGAATGCGAGTTAGCGATAAAGGTAATGTATATTTTATGAGTTTGTTTATAGGAAGTTAATCTCTGTTCCAAGCTATATTATTTCTGAGTGACATTAAACGTCTCTATCTTTATATCACAGGCCGTAAACAGCAAAAAAAAGGTTAAATATAGGTAAGTACGTTGAGAAAAATCGTTGTAGCGGATGCAGCGGCCATGTCCACAAATATGTATTTACATGCACTATGTCTACTTAACCTTGTGTAGATGATAGATACTCGTACCTAATATCATAACATCTTCAGGGCATGCTATTCTACTATTATCTATTAGAAAATAATTACTATCTCAAAAGAAAGACGCCTAATTGAACAGGATTTACGTGCACGCAATGCGTTAGACACAAACCAACACAATTACCTATATTACGAGACAAAATGGAGCCTAAACTGGCTCATTAGGCAATAGCTATTAAACGCAATCTCATTAATTAATTAAATGCTCATAATATGTCAGACATCACGTCAATCTATCACAGTCTGCTACGTGTTACACAGACGATATGTATCTGATAACGTTAGGTAAGGTTAGTTATGTCCTGATGGCGCAGTTACACTGCGGGAAATTGATCCAGATATATAAGTAGTGTAAACACGTAATTCAGTTAGTTTCGCCGTGGGTCGCCCATACTTCGGTGTGCGTGCTCGCACTTCTATTCGATCAATTTCTCGGATAGTGTAACTGCGCCATAACAGTATTCAGTAATATTTATTTTATAGGTGTTCGGTCTGGTTTTTGTCCTACCAGACTAAATTAAGACCAGCTGTGGCTACACAGTGCACACTAAACACTATTGTTTTGTGGTTGTTTTTAACAAAAATGTTACAGTCTTATGTAGTGTTGACGTTTCTTACGAGTAATTAATGTAGTTAATACATTATTAGTTGCTAATAACTCTCAAATGCGTTTACGCACAAATATGTGTTTTGAAAACAAAACGATACCTATTGAATTTCCCGAGCTGCACTGTCAGAATAAATTATAGCACTTGCGAACAATAAAAATTTAAATTCTTCGCATGTTACATTTTATTGCACTGCATAAAACATTTGCATGTAAACATCTTGACCTCTGTATATTAAATGTGATGATTCAATAAAGCGTCAACAAGTTAGAACAGAAATAGATTCGGCTGCATATTTCACTCGTCAGAGCGATGTAAAGCAAACAAGATGCCGATGTTACTGTGAACCGAACTCTATGTGACAGCAGTTCATCAAGCTTGTGGTATATGTCGTTGTTATTGATGCGATTTTGCGATTTATCGATAGTTTTTGTCACTATACTTATATAAGTTTATCTATACTAATACATTTGTAAGCTGAATAGTTTGTATGTTTGGTTGAACTCGCTTATCTCATAAACTGAAGCGATGGCTGGTTCACTCGTCATGTCTGTGAACAGGCGCTGCTTTCGGGGACTGGTCAATCCAAGTTATTCAAATTTATGTATGCGAGTCATTTCTACTAGTATCTTAATATGTAAGTCTAGATATTAGCACGTCACTACCTTGTTTAATATACCACGCAATCTTGTATACCCATTCTTATAAGATACACCATACAAGAATGCATGGTAAATTCAGTGAACTGCTCCTGAATCGAATGTACCTACTACTACTATTTATATTTATTTATATTAACCGGCAGACAGTGGTGACTGAGTTTGTTGCGGCGCTTCTTCTCAGCACTTGCCAAATGTTGGTCTCGAAGCGCTGATAGGGTAAAAAGATTATGAGACATGTAGAGGCTCCTTAAGAGCAAAATGACGATTTGTAAGAACTATTTATTAGTCTAAACAAATAAAGAAATTTTGACTTTGACTTCGACTTTGACTTTGAACTACTGGTCCGATTTGAAAAATTAGTTTTGTGTAGGACAGCCCATTTATCGAGGAAGGCTTTAGGCTAATAACAACACCTACAGCCAATAGGGGCGGAGCAGTAAAGAAAAATGTTGCAAAAACGGGAAATATTATTCAAACAATTTTCACGCGTACGAAGTCGCGTTTTTTTTTTATGTGATACGAGGCAAACGAGCAGACGGAAATCCATTGATCTTGACAAATCATCAATGTACTGTACAGTTAGATTGTATGATACAGTCGGTTACGAGTACCTAGGTGATTCCCCAGCCTGTGAGGTCATTGGGGAGCGTAGGTCAAATCCTCTAGTTGCCTCTGACCTATTATTGAGAGTGCCATGCTCCGGCCTGTTGATAGTATTATGTCGTCAACTTCTAATTCTTTTGTCTAATTTTCTGGTTAGCTGGAAGAGAATGCCACATGTCATTAAGCTCGCCTGTTGTACCACTGTTTTTATGTGTGCAATAAAGATTTTAAATAAATAAATAAATAAACTTCCACAACCATGATATCAGGGAATCTTTCAAGTAGTATAGTTCCAAAATACTGGACTGTCCTGTCGATGACATTGACAGTGGGGCGCCACCGTCAATACCGGATCGCTGTTTCAGATTTTTGCCATGTTGGAAACCATATAGTTGAACGATGGTATTGAGTTTGGCGGGACAGTTCAGCGTGGGTCATCTATAGTAACCTTTGTTTGTCACCTGTCAACCGCTTTGCAATTGAGGGAAGTCGAACCTTAAATTTCGAACTCCTCCTATGTTCTTCTGATTAATTTCGTTGCGGGTCCAATGACAGTTTAACTTTCCCCCGGGACAAACTTGATCTTCTTTGGTTGGGTTTTTATGGCGGTCGGTTAAGCTGTAGATCCTGGCTACACAGGAGTTGCAGTGGTGGGAACGAGAGGTGGGAATAGTCCCGTAATCTTGCAAGTAGTCTTGTAAAACCTAATTTCTATTTGCTAATTACGACATTATTCATCTCCTTCACGGTTGTAATATTTCAGATTGTCACTTCTTGAGATAAATGTGTCTGTCAATTGTTTTGAAAATGTCTCCGAGTGACATGCCTATGACACTTTCATTAATGTGGGCACTTTTCCAGCGGACACTTGTACAAGTGTTTATAAATTGGTAACCACGCGGAAAAAAATCTATTCGAAAATGTTTTAGAATTATGTAAGAGGCAATTTCGAGGTAACTGAACTTTTTTAAATTTGTTTGTAACGAGCAATAAAGTAATATCTTATTTCTATACAATAATATAAAAAACTAAGTTTCACGACCGAATAAACTCCACATTAAATTAAAACCTTGTAAGACCTCTTTATAGCTTATATCAAATTCGTTGATAAGAAGCACCTGTAAGCTCATTCAATAAAAAATATCACTAGTAAACCGATACAGCCCATTATTAAATTATTGACCTTTCTTTCCATTTTCCAACATTTCACAATAATAAAAGAAGACCTACTACTGTCAGACCTTAGATTAATAAAACCTAGATGGATAGTCTTCATACAAACGCTTCGTCAAGAGTGAGGCAAAAATCTTATGTCATTAGTGTCAATTTTGTTGGGGAGTGTAGACAGTGAAGGCGATTTTCCCGAAAGTAGGGAAATTTTTAATACGTTTTTGAATATTTTATAACTAACAAAAACAAAACGCATCATGTACTTACCTATTTATTGAATTCAAAGTACCTACCTAATAACAATAAGAAAAATCGACTTAAAAGTCTCGATTTCATAAACAAGGAAGTGTATTTGTACGGCGAACAATTGGGAAATAAATTTTCTTGTTACTGGTATCATTCCCGTATTTAATTTTTGAAAGCCAAATTCAAGCAAAATACGCGTCGAATCGTAGTACTTACTTATGAAATGTAACACTGGTCACTTTCTTATGTTTTTCTGATGTATTTTAGACACCCTTTCACAGCACAAACCGTTTTAATAATTAAAATTCGTCGGACGTGTTAACCAATTTTTCACTTTGACAGTTCATGTGACGTTTACGGGTAAGCCGTGCCGGCTCCCTAAAAACTGCCTCACCTTTCGTGCACTGACTATCTATCTAGGTTTTATTAATCTAAGTGTCAGACATAAAATCTCAAAATTACGCGAGTGTCAACTGGTGTCAACAGACTATAGGTGACCTAAACTGAACTGTCCCACCAAACTCATTGACAGAGGGGTGCCACCATCGTTCAACTGATAGTTTCCTACATGGCAAAAATCGGAACCAGCGATCCGGTTGACGATGGCGCCCCGCTGTCAGTGTCACGGATCGGACAGTTCAGTATATTGGATGTAGTTATTTATGCCAAAGCGGGTCAATGTCACCGAACAATACATAGTGTTGTCACTTGTCACACTACCTACGCTTCCGTGCAAACTGTGAAATGACATTTCATCGTTAATCTTTGAACCTTTCTTAGGGTGCGCGTAGCGATGCGCCAAGCGTTAAGCGAATTGTTACCGAATATCATGACGCTATGGTACATTATAGGATATTAATGGAGCCGGTTAACTTGACCCGAATAGTGTTGTCCCACGACAGTAAAATGTATCCATAATCTAGGGCATACCATTTTTATCAACTGACCTTCAGAATACCTAACGTGATGTACACAAATAAAACATTCACAGTAAATGCAATAAGCTTCATTGACGTGTGCATACAATCATTGGCATTTGTCAATCTGTAATATCGATAGTGTCGATGCTATCTACACATAAAGTTAATATTCCTTCGGAATAGAGCAACAAAGAATGAGCGAGCGAGATGTCACTATCTGCAACCCTGTGTGACAAAAAGAGATGTGTGATGCTATCATCGTCACGTCAATAGAACCATTTTTGCAAAAGATTTGACAGGCAGTGACACATAGAGGCACAAAGCAGAATTTCAAATCACAGTTTTTTCTAAAAATTTCGTAAAATCCTGTATAGTTTTGGAATTTTTTTATTGTAATACAATGGTGACCTGTTCCGTCCTTGATTGTGATGTAAACCAGAGAAATAATCCCGCAAAATATTAATTTCACAGGTAAATTTATTGAAATCGACACCTCCAAACTTTAGCTTTATTTTTGTGAATGCGCTTAGAATTTTAAGCACTAAGTGTGATAATTATGTTCTTTAAACATTAATTTAAGTTGTAAGCAAAGATTTCATGCACATAATCCAGAATTTATGAATATTTTGTGTAAAGAAATAATTTTCGTTTTACACTAGGGCTGTACCACAATCGATAAATATATTTTGTGCACTGTCTATCACAGTCACCTGGGAATGTAATAATATGAGTTTCTGACTATTATAATAGGTACTAATTAGTAAAGTATCTTTCAGATTTCCGACTAACGAAGATGTAAGAAAAACATGGCTCAAATTAATTAATCGTCCAAATTGGATTCCAACTAAATATGCCACTTTATGTAGCAAACATTTTGATAGTAAATGTTTTCGAAAAATTGGAGCCAGAATCACGTTGAAAAAATGTGCAATCCCTACAGAGTTTGTTCCGGTAAGTTTAATTAAAATAATACTATTTCTGGCAATAAATATTTTCATTTTCTTCTGATGATGTTTCGTTGGTTAGTAATGTCAATTTATTACCTTGATCTGGTTGTTTTCATTGTTTTGATAAAAAATGTTTAACTATAAGTTATAATTAAACTATGATTTCTATGAAATAGTCAAACACGGGACTTAACGCGACGTTTATTAATGAGTTACATTATGTACTCACGGCTTGACGTTTCGGCTGCGATGCTGCAGCCGTGGTCACAAGTAGACTGGCGGTTCGCGGCGTCGTCCGTTTGCGTGGGCATGAAGATTTTCAACTACCCTCATAATAATATAAAATCTTATATGATTTCTATAGTCAATTCTTTCTTTATTTTTCACAGGTGAAAGTAAAGCCTACACGCACAGTTATATGATTTCTATAGTCAATTCTTTCTTTATTTTTCACAGATGAAAGTAAAGCCTACACGCACAATGTCGTCGTACGTGAACAGAGATATTTTACCAGAGGGATCTACATTATCGTCTAGATCTCCGCCGCCGACACCACAGCTTCAGAATGTATGGATGTCTTGATGTTTGTTGCTCTTTCAATTAAATCAGTTAAATCATTTTAATCTTCTGAGTTTTATTTTTATTTTCCACTCTCCCATATACGGATTGTATATGGACATTCTATCCTATTTTAGTTCCATTAATATTACTACTGTTAGGTGTTAATTAATATAAATCGATATCGATATTCATGTGAAAAGTAACGACATACATCACTAGCATGCACACATATTTATATTTACACACACAAATGACATCTCATTTTTGGTTTCGTTTGACAGCTCGTGATTGTTGCTCTATTCCGAAGGAATATTAACTTTATGTATCTACAGCACTATAAATACAGATAAAGTGTTAATCCTCGTGATGAAATGAACAATGTATTTTTTTATTTCACTCGACTGAAGGTTTTTTGGCTATAAAACGACACCGCGTTTTAGAAAACTTAATAATTATAGCAACGCCATCTAGTGGTCAAATGTATATGACTTAAAATATTAACCTCTCGATATCCGTACATCTCTACCGGTATGCAGTATGCATGCACCCAAAGGCATTTCAGACTTTATTTACTTTTGCAACTCGCTGCACTCCTCACTGCCAGTATTGCAGCATACGCGCGCCCTAACCGTTTGTTGTTGGTTACAAGTTCTGTATTTAGTTTTATTTAACACTTTCACTGTCCAAGGCGTTTGTAATTCGATCGTATACGAACGAGTTCACCCGCTTGAATTTCGACAATAAACACTATTAAACAATATTTATAACCATTATTCAAATAATGGGTTTTCATTCGTACAACTATTTCGAAATTCCTATTTAAATTTTTTTGCAACCCCTACTTGGTTTACGAACTTTTCCGAAGCTGTCCACAACAAAATTCATCAAAATTGATCCAGCTGGTCAAACATGAAAGCGTTTACTTTCGCATTTATGTGAACTATACTATAGCTTCCGCCAACGGCCTCGCTCGGATGAATTTCAGCTATTCATTGTCACCAAGGTCCAGCCGGTCTCTAATGGGTTAAAAAAATCTCAATTCAGTGGTTTAGATGAGAAAGACAGACAGACAGTTGCTTTATATTAGTAGGTATGCATTCAATAGGTATCTAGTCTAGAGCTCGTGCACGAACCGAACAGTGTAACCTATTTATTTAAAACAATGAGAAGGTCCTTTTAATTTTGACTCAAGACTTGTAATTTTGACACTAGCGATCCGCCCCGGTTTCGTACGACTTCAACACCTACCTACATACATATAAACCTTCCTCTTGAAATGACTATCTATAGCTGAAAACTGCATTATAATCCATTGCGTTATTCAAAAGATTTAAGCGCACAGACAGACAGCGGGAGCTACTTTGTTTTTATTTATACTACCAGTTGACCTTGATATAATTTATATGTATAATATGGATTTACTCGTACAGTTTACGCTTTCCATACATCAACATAAATGTCTTTGTACAGTGTACCAGCCTTTGTTATCAACCGTATCATATTTACGAGGTAAATTAATACATTCATAATTACGAAAAACATGTTTTTAAAAGGGAATATTGATATTTAAATACAAATACCTATCCATACACTTTAAAGACCAATGTGTAACCCACCTTATTTTAGCGGTATGTTACTTTAATAAAGATGAACTAAATAAAAATAAATAAAAAAAACAAAATACTTAGTTGTACCAGTTATACCTATGGAACAGGTCTTTTTTACATACTGAAATCAATTTTACATAACTGACTGATCGACTGATTTAGGACTGATTAGGTACAGTCAGCGTCAAATAGTTCGTGACACCCAAGGTGGTTAAAAAGTTGACAACACAACCTTATTCCAATAGTAAGAAGACGTGTTGCGATTGCGAACTTTTTGGCTACTTTGGGTGTCACGCACTATTTGACGCTGACTGTACTATGGACAGTAATCAGAATATATTTTCTATGCAAAATAGATCCTATAAAAACTCCAGTAGAACGCCGATTAACCGAATCGCCTATTATCCGCATCGGTCCTAAAGTAATTTTTGATTTGTTTTGTTGGAACTCAGTTATATTTCAACTGCGCGTTATTGTAGCAGTTCTACAATAACGCTCGGTAGAAATATATTCTGTGTGAAAGTTCGTTTTTCTCTATTACCAGTCTATGTCCGATTATCCGAATTTTCAATTAGCCGAATCGACCCCAGTCCCAATTAATTAGGATAATCGGCGTTCTACTGAACATAAAATCCTACAAAATCGTACCTTCAGGTCACAGTCAGAGGTTAATCAACAACATGACAAATAACCTTATCTCTAACTCTAATGCCGATGCAATGCGAATAACAATCGTTATCTAATTGCAGGAGTGTTAATGTGATTCATTTTACGCTCAATAAAATGTTGCTATGTAAATATTTACATTTTATCACTAACAATGATAACAACTTTACTTTTACGATTTACGATACAAACGCCCATCAGTCCCATCACACTTTTACGCTACTCATTTTTACAGAACTTCTCCCAATTATTTTCACCTTTAATGTATTTTAGGTATCATGATTTCCCCTACTTCAATCTCTCTTTATTTATGAATTCTTTCACGGCCTGTATTCTTATTTTCAGAAGAACGCGCAAATGAAATAACCAAAGATCAAGCCTAAAAATGTCAATATTAGACCATTACATAGTACTAACGTACTTTCAAATTACCGAATCTTAAAACTTAAAAAGACTAATTAATAAAATATTTCAAGGTTTGTTTTTCACATTTCATAATTGTTTTAATCATTTTGTCCTACTAGCGCCCCGACTAACATTCAGCAAGTGCTGCGAGGAAGTGCCACTACAAATTCAGTCATCATTAATTTAATGATTTCTACGATTTTTACAATTATTATAATAATAAGTTTTTGCATAAAAAGGAATCGTATTATTATAATACACGTAATAATAAACACTATTTCACGAAAAGACTCCGGCAGATACGTACTTTTTATGGGTTAGTAAAAGTTCACAACTTAACTTAATATCCTCGTTTGGATTTTTCTTTGATGCTAGTCTTTCTTGTGTTTTCAACACACAGAATAATTAGTCGGGAAAACTTCATAAAGTTAATTAACAAAATGAATTGAAGGTCTAGTAAAAAAAGTTATACCAATACTAATATTTATTAGTATAAAAATAAAAAGACGAAATTAAAAATGCAAATAAAGGACGACGATTCCTGTCTTCATTCGTATGTCTCTGACTTTCATTAAAAAGTAGAAAGGTATGTAGGTAAGTATGTAATATTACGTCTAGACTGGAATATGAATTTTCTGTCCGTTTATCAGTAATTCTCGGTACTGCAATAATAAAGATAACTGGGAAAGATTAAATAAAAAATGGCCTAACGTTTGCTTCAATGATAAAAGGAAGTATTGCTTAGGTTCAATATTGACATTGAGATTGATAGTAAGTAAATGCAAAGTAAACGCTACATTATATTCTAAGGTAGTTTCCTGTTAACTTTGTGCTAGCTTTGAACTATGTTATTAGATAATCATCGAACATGTTATTTTTAGTTGAAAAAATATCAATATAACTAGATATTAAGGAAAACAAACAAGATTATGCTCTCTCTATTTCACGTCATATCGAATTTTCATTTATCAACAATAGCTTACCTTCAAAAAGGCAATTGATTGTAATAAATTACTTTAACACAGATATCTGGGTCACTATCGCATTTCCTCCAGCAAGGTTGTAATGGAATATCATAGAGATGCCTCTACATTTGTTATGTTCCAGGAATTGAATTTTCCATATTTCTATTTTGTAGGTCAAAACAAAATAGAAATATGGAAAATCGTCTCGCTCAAAAGGTATGTCGAATATTTTTTCTATAGGAGGTAAGTCAATTTATATTGAACTTATGCTATCAGGTATAAATAACTAAACCCCTTGTTAAAAAGCCATCAATGACCAACAATTATAAGAAATAGTAAATGTAAATCAAATTCAAATGATTTCAACACATGTGTATAAATCATTATTTATAATAACCTGTTTGTGTAGAGATACATAATCGCAATCAATCATTGTTAACATTGACAATGGAATGCAATAAATACTAGTAGAGGAATAACTGTCATTAAAAGTGTATCAAGAGCATACAAAAAATAACAACCATTGGCACTAAAGTCCTTTTAAAAACAATTAACGTCTTAAATGAGTGTGTAAGTATTTTTTTGCACTGAATTATCTCACGCAACCGCAGCTTTTTTAACTGGAATACAACTTTTAATTGCATTTTTTCAGTCGTATCAGTATTGCAATAGAATGCTTTCACTTGTCTAATTTTGTCAGAGCTACAAAGGGACTGTTTAATGAGCTATGAACGTTTATTAACAATGAATAATGTGGTCCTATAGTACTCAGTCCCTTTGAGGGAATCTAGCGCCAACCACCTAGGTATTCAACGAGATTCCTCAGAAATGAAGCAATCTCCACCTTCTCATAAATATGGAGCTCCATTAGTGCGACGTCCGCTCTCCTACATTAACGTATTAAAGAAAATACACACCGGAGAAAAACAAGGAGGCGATTCGTAACTTTTAAATTAAATTCCCTTGCCCGCAAAGTATTTTAATTCACTTCGTTTATAATCTAATTAAAAAGCCCTTACGGGTTATGGCTTACATTTTCGCAGTGCGGCGGCGGTAAATCAGATGATGAACAGAACACTCACAGTCACAAACACTTCAATTTGAATGTGGCACTCGACATCGTAATATGTTCACTCGCGGCGACAACCGACACAGAGTACACGTCCTGTCTCTACGGCAAGCGCCGGGGTACTGAGCGAAAAGTTGCTACGAACTCTACGAGCTACGAAGGGCCCACCCTGCAAGGTTTTCCGCGTAGCCGCCGCACTGAAATAGTGAAAATTACTCGTTTTCAGTACCGCTATACAGGGGGACTTTGAAATCTTTGGCATCGTTTTAAAATAAGACTACTCATCATACATAGTTACATTCCCAAAATATGAGACAAACCTAATGAGTTAAAATTTCAAAATTAAAAATATTGTACAGACGACAGCACATCAAGCTTAATACAGTGGCATCTTATTTCGATGCATTAAGCGTTAATTTGCAACAAAATGTATAGGCTGATGTGCTGTTGACTGTAAAATAGTTTCAAACTCTTTAAGTCC